GAGAGAGAGAGAGAGAGAGAGAGAGAGAGAGAGAGAGAGAGAGAGAGAGAGAGAGAGAGATATATATGGACAGAGAGAGAGAGAGAGAGAGAGAGAGTGAGAGAGAGAGAGAGAGAGAGAGAGAGAGAGAGAGTTTTGATTTCCGTCTCTCCATTCAAAAACAAGACAATATTTCAAACTGACTGCAGAAAATGCACAAACACAAATAAATTAAGATTCGTTTACTGGTTTGGTCTGTAACATGACAGAAAATAGGCAAAAATGTTGGTCATTGTTATCCAAAGTAAAAGCAGATGTCAGCTTTCATGGAGGACTGCAGAAATCTGAGAATATTAACTGTTCAGAGGCTGAAATTCTGAGGATATGGAGAATTTTAAATAAAACAAGGTCTCTAAATGACTCATTAAATTATAAATGAGTTGTTGATTTATTGATTCATCGTTTCACCTCTTGTATATTGAATGTGTCTACTGTAAAGCAGAATTAACGAATTTAGTACATTAGCATGTCCTGACGATTGCCGACAATTACCAAAATGCAGCTTGTTGCTAACTGAGTTGAGTTGAGTTCACTGCGACCATCAAGAGAATGTATCCCAAATTTTTGCTTGCACGTTAAAACATAAAAAAAAAATCGGCCGAGCAACATCTGGTATCTCGAGAAACTCATAATAGTTATACTAACGTCATTCTTCAAAAACGTAGATCGATTTTGAGCCGACAGATATGCCGCAGACAGGCGTGGACTACTTTGAGTTGTCTTGACGCATCATAGCACCTGACCATACTCAACGATTGGTCGTGAGGCGTCTGGTCGGTGACGGACTTGTAGTATGACATCTCACCCGGTTCAAGACGCAGAACAATATTCATGTCATAGTCCAATAGCGCAACTGTCCGACCGAAGAAACAGGTATACTGTATGTGTGGAGGAAAGGCCAAAATACAAAACGATAGAAATCCAGTCATCTTTTCTTCCACTTATCTAGTGCAGTGTGGAATATGTATTGAACATTGCTGTGTTCATGTGGACATGACATCAACAGCATTAGTAACACTTCCTACAGGCCAACTCTTATATCAAACTCGACCCGTCCAATATGTTTTATTTTAATTTATAAGAGGTCTGAAGCCTTTGATTTGAACATTTCCATCTCTTTTCTTTCAAATGGGATCAAAGACTAACCGGGATAATCCTGCCAAGCTCCAGGCTTTATCGCCTGAGCGGCGCTGAGTGACAAGAAGAAGCTGTATTTTATTCCATGCTCTGTCACTGTTTCTCCCTATCTGCCATTGTACTGCTTGATTGTACTTTTATGAGTCACACAAGCGCACCTGCACCCATGTGTTAAGTAGTGACAAATAAAAGCCCAGCGCCCATTTACACAACAAAGAGATGTAACCCGCCAGGCACCCCTTCTTTGCCTGCACCCCCCCTCCGTCTGACAAGACCTCAGATATATCACTTACTTAAGAGGAAGAAGGCAGCTCGCGTGCTTGCCGCTGCCGCAGACACCTTCTCTCCCTCATGCGCTGACAAACTTCTTTTCAAATACAAATCCAGAAACAAAACACGCGTCAGCCTTTTATGTTCTGAAGCCTGTTCAACATTTGATCTTTGAGGAACCGCGGTGGAGGTGACGAATATCAAAGCAGTGAAGGGAAAAGCCCGTCTCAGAATCCCTTTCCAAAACAAGAAATATTGTTTGATAATGATGGGCGGGGGTTGGATTTTAGCAAACCAGTTGCTTCTTGTTAAAAATAAAGAGCAGTCACAAACCCGTTAAAGGAATTCAATCAAGGATTTGATATATGTAAAATAAAAAAGAACTTTGGCAAATCACTAAGGTTTTACAAACGAACATCTGACTTTGTGATTTATGCATATTAATGAACTCCAAATACCCCCCGCCTAAGTGAAGGCAAGCTGAGCTCCACACTTCTCTGCATCCTAATGGTTTCTGCTCCGTTGGGATCATTACCAGCAGAATTCTCAGATATTCTGTGCTATTAATCTCTGTCTGTCCTCCTGTTCAGCGACGTAATGACTAATTAAACATCAAAAGAGCAGAGCTGGGGATCCGCTCTGACAGCTTCTCTTTCTCCCGGGAGAGCCTGTGAGGAGGCTGGACTGTGACAGGGCACCGCTGAAAATCAATCACCTCCAGTGCAAACGCACAACACACATGCGAGCACACAAAACTACACAAACCCGCTTTGAGCATCATACAATGCTGCGATGAACAACGAATACAAGATGCCACAACTTTGTGGGTAAAGACAAACAGTAGTGCTAAGCAACCAATCCCCATTCAGCGACTGTGGAGATAATGTCAAGAGCGCTCTTTTTTGTGTACAGGGCTTGACAGGTTGGCCTTCTGAGTAGCACAGATCTACGTGTGTGTGTGTGTGTGTGTGTGTGTGTGTGTGTGTGTGTGTGTGTGTGTGTGTGTGTGTGTGTGTGTGTGTGTGTGTGTGCGGGCGGATGCGCTGGAGTTAGCTCACTGTTAAATCTATTTATATGAGAGGTAGATGATCTTCCACTCACAGATGAAGGTAGGCCAGGAGGGACCTTGCGAACCTTTTTTGTTTGTAGAGGATCTGTGGGAAGAGATGAAAGCGCATTTAATCATTCACAAACAAACACAAGACAGTACGAATGTGTTCCAAACAAAACACAACGATCGAAAACCAACTCCAGATAAAAGAGAAGAAAACAATGTTTTGGGTGACTTTAGTGAAGGTGTTGTTTTGGTACGCGATAGTGAGTATAGTTCACGACTAAAAGAGAAGAAAACAATGTTTTGGGTGACTTTAGTGAAGGTGTTGTTTTGGTACGCGATAGTGAGTATAGTTCACGACTAAAAGAGAAGAAAACAATGTTTTGGGTGACTTTAGTGAAGGTGTTGTTTTGGTACGCGATAGTGAGTATAGTTCACAACTATCAGTCATCATAAATCCCAACAATCTACTCTTTTCATTCTTAATGATTAACCTTTTAAGGGAAGCTAAGTATAACAACTTCATGGAAAAAAATTTCAATGAGATATATTTCAAGGACATGCCTTTAATGCAGTATACTGGTTCACTGCATAAAACGTTTTTTTTTTTTTTTTTTTTTTTTTTGGTGGTATAAGCCACATCAAGGAATTTATATTTGATTCAATAAAATATTTTGCCTAAAGAGGAGAGTTGGGCATTGAATCAAATCTTTGATGAAAGTGGTACTGACCAATAGGCGGTGGGTCCTGTAAAGGACGTCTTCTGGGATTAGCTGCGCTGAACGAGTAGAAAGAAGCGGCTGACTTTGCCGATGTCGTCCCTGAACTAGGACTTGTCACTCCTACGTCTGAGCGTAGAGATGGCTGTGAGAGATAAAACATGGAAACGACAACTTTCATTTTCTGTGTTTGCCTACCAAAATCAAACACGTTTATGCTCTATGGCAGAATTAAGGTGCCTCCTTGGACTGGTCAACAAAAAATTGTTGGACCCAGAGGATTATGCAATAATCAGAACCACTCGAACCATACAATTTTATTTAGTGCCAGTTTCATCCAATAGCTTTCTGACCCAAACAACCTAAGCAGACGGGGTTAAAAGACCAATTAAGAGCTTGGTCCAATTAAAGTAATCAACTACGGACAGCCTCACGATGGCGAGTACAACAGCAAGCTATGTTTAGTCGTTGGCTTGCCAACTAGCACACGTGCCTCTGGGAATCCCCTTTCCGGGCTGACGACTGACACACTGACATGTTTGAACTTTGTAGTGGATAAACTGGTAGTTAAATACAGCTTAGATTTCATTACATGGGCACTAAAGGAGTGGAAATAATTCAATTAAAAGCTGTTAGTGTCGTGTAGGCAGTATGTTCAATATACCTCATTTCAAAGGAATTACATATACAGTGTCTCCATGCAAAATGTAGGTCATCAAAACTATTGGACACGGTGACAAAAATGTAATCCAAAAGGAACAAACTGGCTCTGTAAAATGACAAGCTGTCACAGATGTCACATCACTGACCCGCTTGTGCTCTTGGCTTTGTTCAATGATATTGAACCATTGCCTCAGCACAGTCTGCTCTCACTCTCCCGGAGAAAATCACTGAAGAAGACTCCAAGACTAAATCGAGGCCATGCAATACATTCCATTGAAGAGGATTAATACATATTTTGGAGTGAAATGGATCTGTTTACAAATACAAGTGATGCCTGTTCACAAATTAATGTGTAGTGGAAGTGAGGTGCACCTGAGACTGACAGGCAGAGGCGAATGAACAAGACAGTGCGAATCAATCCACCGCAGGACTTCTTTTGAAGCACGAGAAGTCATTAGCCATGTCAGGCAATTGGCAAGTAGCCATGTGGCAAGAGGATCAATGATCTAATTCAATTATTTGGATTAAAAGCCTGGCAAAACACCAGCTGAAATGTTAGAAGTGTAAAGTAGGCTAAAAATCAATCAGGACCGAGTCTATCGCATACATATTTACATGAAAATAAGGAAAACAAAAGGTGTTCAATGGTACCACCGTTCTGCAAGTCCCCAACTACAATATGGAACTCACCTGACAGCCGGATGCTCCAGTATCCCTTGCAAAGGCATGTAACGCAACGCTCTCTGATTTCGCTGAAAAAGAGAGCGGATTGTTATCTTAACCGTGGCGCAACTGTGAAACGAACATGATTAGAAACTGATCAAATGCAGCATAATTTAGCTCCAGTATATTTCAGCAGTGACAATATCAATGCAAATCCGTGTTCTATGATTAATGTATTTATCAATGCCCACTATTCCACTAAAGATAAAGATATGTACAGCACCTAATGAACAATAACATGAAAATCAACAAGAGAAGAATTCAAACAAAACAATTGAGTTGAAACTGTTATATATGATGGAAAAGCCTTTCAAATGATTTACCCTTGGTTTTATTTTTTTTACACCACAAAAACATGGGATGTGAACTGGGGGTTTGTTCCCTTTTTATAGCCACTGCACAAATAAACTAGCAGAAGATGAAACAACTAATTCTGAGCAATGACATTTGGAACTTGTGTTTACTCAACTTAGGATTGAATATTTCATTCTATAGGTGTGATATAGTCCTCAGAGGATGCATCACACGCAGCTTTCAAGGGAGAAATAAAACCAACAAACACATAACCACATTAATCAAAACCATGACAATTTCTACACTCAGCAGTTCTAGTCCCCTGAAAAAAAACAAAGAAACAAAGCACACAAACAAAGCTCAGTGAGCTCATACATGAGCAAGATGAACAACTTGATGTGGCATCATATTCGCCAGAAATCCAAATACGGTCTTACAAGCACAAAGTCGGGACTAAATTCTGTTGACGCTACAGTACAGGTGATTATTTTGGTGAGCTAAAAAAATTGCATCGCGTGGATGTTTTGTTCCGCAAAGATGGATCTGAACTGAACATTGCATCACAAGCACAGGTGACCAGAGGCTAATACATCATCTGAGCAGTTCTCCAGGGGAAAAGTTGCAATGCGCGGACTGGACTACATCTCAGAACACTTTGAGGGAAGATGGTTTATCTTACAAAGCCGCTTCTCTTGTAACAATATGATGCATTTCTAAGCCATCGCTCCGGAAAAAGGATTAAGTTGTCGGATACTACCACCTTGCACTATCGCTGGAGGAAGATGAAATATCTCCTTTCAGAGAACTTTTATTAAATTATATCCGCTCAGCAAATACCTGCGGATTCTTTCGCTGGATTCACCGTCATTCAATAAAAGTCCACAGAGGTTGGAACCTGGTCCAGTTCTGACTAAAGTATTCATTGACAGCACATGTTTTGTCAAACCGACCGGTGTCTGATGTGAATAATTGATGTTCAGTGCTGCAGTTCCAGGCCCCACACTTTCAAACACCCACTCAGATCATACAACAGGACGTATTCCCAAATCCACTCACGAAGCAATAACACCTCAACTTTGTGTAAACACGGTCGAACCTGGGAAATGCACATCCTGCAAGCTTCCATAAATATTTACAGCAATGATGCTGTCACAGTGTTTACTGATAATGTAGCACAGCTTGCACTAATCGTTGGCCTGTAGGGTTGATTATCTAGTTTTGCAAAACAAATGACAACCACTGTTTGCTGCCCAATGGAAAGCATGAATCTCCAAAATGTATTGGGGAAAAATATACCGTATTTTCACGACTATAAGGCGCCATTAAAAGTCTTAAATTTTCTCCAAAATGGACAGTACGCCTTATAATGCGGAGCAATTTTCTCCAAAATGGACAGTACGCCTTATAATGCGGAGCGTCTAGTGTATGCGCCGAGTTCCAAAGTCTGACTGAGAGCACTTCTGGCCGACACGCCGTTTATACAGAGAAAAGGCGGGCGTGAGTGACGACAGGCATGCGGAAGTCCGCCAATGAGTGAAGGGTCGGCGTGTAAGAGGACGCTAAAGGCACGTACCTAGCAGGTACCAGTCGCCAATGAGTGAAGAGTGGGCGTGTAAGAGGACGCTAAAGGCACGCCCCTAGCAGGAACCAGTCGCCAATGAGTGAAGGGTAGGCGTGTAAGAGGACGCTAAAGGCACGTCCCTAGTAGGTACCAGTCGCGTGAGTACGTTGTAAAATGGCTAAATAAAGTACAATCGAACTCAAGTTTTGCTTCCGTTGCCTTTTTAAAAACGTGTTTTTAGCGTGTGTCCGTATGTCTTAGCTGCTACCGTATGCTTCAAGCTAACGTGTTTTTAGCGTGCGTGCATGCATGCCATATGTTTAAGCTGGCGTATGTTTTACCATGCCTGGCTGCGCCCAATAATACAGTGCGTTTTGTGTACGTGTCAAATACAGAAATAGCACCCGTTACTGAGACTGCGCCCAACAATACGGTGCGCCGAATGGTCGTGAAAATACGGTAATTGTTTTCTACATATTGTCAATGTGGAATGTCGGCCATGCTATGTCACATTTCATTGGTGGGTTTTTGTCAGGAGCAACAGAACCCTCTATTAGTAGTATTTCATAAAAACACTACAATAAACTGTTATTAGAAATGTAACACAATACATTATTTTGGACATACATTATGGGGTGGGGGGCAGCAAGGTAATATTGGATAATTGTGAGACAAATGAATGTTTATTTATATTTTACATTGAAATCAGTATAATTACCGTAGTTTTCATACTATGGGTCACACTTTTTTTTTCATGGTTTGGTTGGTCCTGCAATTTATACCCAGGTGCAATTTGTACATTTAGAAATTGGAGCTCGGAAAGGCAACCAATTCCCATTGCCTGACAGTTTTATTTTCGGTGCATTACCGCCGGTAGCCACCTTCTTTAGCATATTAAAAGAAGGTGGCATGAATAATTATTTACAGCACTAAAAATTGCCATTACCTTCTAGGATTTTATCTTTGACCACAATGGGATACGAGAGTCTAGTTGAGTTAAGCCATTTTTAAACTAAAAAGAACATATTTTCCGTAGTTAAAAGTGGAAGTTTTGAAACCAACCAGAGCCCGTTCGCTGCTGTCAAGACAGGGCGCGTTGGAAAATTCACTCTGACGCTCTCACAGCACTCTGAGAGTGCGCGTGTTCCAAGAGGCAGAGTCCAGGTGAAGCCTGGCCTGGTGAGTGATGAGGAAGTGAGTGAATGAGAGTGTGGAGTTAGATGTTGTGAGCTCAGGTTAGGTGCTGGCTGCTAACTGGCTACCCATTAGCCAGCCTGAACACTCTTCAGTGCCTTGGCATCAATTGTGACCGTAGCAGATTGTGTTTGAAATGTACTAATTACAGTACGTTTGTTGCCATGAGAGGGCGGCTCAACAGCTTGACTTGAAAGTATGATTCGTTTTACATAAATTTGAGGGTCCAAATCCAGTGCACTAAGTTAGAATCAATCACACAAGGGAGATGAACTGTCCTAAAATGTGTCTAAACAAGCAAGGGAAATAGTTTTAGGGTTTGAAAACAAGATTTTCTAAATCCACCAAAGCTCACGACATTGTGATTGAGTACCGGTAATCTTGTACTGTAGCGCTTTTGGTGTAAAAATGTATTTGTGCAGATACCACTGACATTAGATCATGCTAATGTCAGTGGTACATGAGATCACAACATATAAGAGGATAACAAACGCAGACAAATAGCACCAGAAAAATCTAACGTAGTGGACATGGCAGCCCATTTTTAACACTGCACCCTTCCTCCTCCCTACAATTGATAAATCAGCTGCAAGAAGAGAAGGATGGAACGGGACCAAGTGGCAGAGTGCCGGCAAATTAATCCACCACGCCACGTATAGAGGTCACAGATTAACAGATCTCTTAGTTAATTTAGTTCGGTCCCGTGCAGAATCTCTGACCTTTTTATCTTATCTTAAATCTTATTCGCGTCCTTCCGCTAATATATATGGATTTGACTTCCTACATCGAATCTGCCCTCTGTGGGCAAAACTACAAAAAAATAAACAGTGGAATTTCTTACATCTGTAGCTGTATTTCTATAGAAACAACAGGAGATACAATTCCCGTCAAATGTGCAATTGCCTTATAACATAGTTGAAACTAATGTCAGGCTCACAGAAATGGAAATGATAAATCCATGCATTGATTTCAAGCATATCTATTTGATTTCTAAACTTTTTATCTCGAATAAAAACCATGATGTACGATCACAGGAGGCTACATTATTTTATCATGTATATTAGTTCCACTGTACTTTGCATAAAAAGCAAAAACAAACAAAAAAAACCCCAAACACAGACAGTGTATGACGTACTGTATATAGCCTGTCAAAAAAAAACACAAACTACTTTTTGCAAAAGCAAAATACCTTCCAAAAAACGTTCAACAACAATTTTAAAATACAGAATACCAACAAGTAATCATTAGACTCATGAAAAATCAATCTAAAATATAGTCAGCAAAGCTACGAGGGGAATGAGAATATTACTTAGAGAACTGAAGTGGAATAATTATGGAAGTGATATGGATTCATAAAACTCATACTGTGACTTGCTTCTTATTTAGATCTTCTTACAAGTGACTGAGGACAGGCAGTGAAGTAAAAGTATTCAAATCCATGGGGCCTTCACGATGCATAGTCACCACGTATCACCTAAAACGTTGCTCATTTTGACAATTATGATTTTAAATAATCTCAATCGTTGAATGTTTTCAGAATGTTCTGAACCCCTGTTTCAAAGACATTGGTGTATTGAACAGTAAAATGGGGTGCAGGCAACTAAACCTGACAGTGGAGCGGAGGGGACGGTGCATAGAGGGGTAGAGAAAAAGAGAGACACTGTGCAGTGTGTATGTGAATAACGGGCTCTTTTGCATGTTTTGGTGCAAGAGATGGATTCACAATGAGTTGCCAAGTAAGTTTCCGACCCCCCACCCCACTGCACACTTTGTTTTCGAGCGAACGTGCTTGTTGGGAACATAGTGTAGCCTTAAGTCATCAAACTTGCGATGAAATGACTGGTTTTAGCCAATTAGTGCACTCCATTTTAACTAAATTAGTTTAAGACTCGATTAATCAACAAGCAGCGCCATACCATCAACAGAATACTTAATGATAAATGGATGATGGCTGCGCCAATCCCTCATAGAAGTATTTAC